CATGCCTTCGCCTTCACCTTGCAGGAGTTAGGGAAATGCACCGTTAAGGAGATGGAGCTGAAATTGATGACGGAGGAACCGGTGTTCCACAGGAAGCGGCGGATGACGCCAGGGGACGCGGATATCTGCAAGGAAAAATGCAAGGAGTTAATAGAGGCGGGGCTGATTCAGCGATCCGAGTCCGAGTATGCCGCGCCGACCGTGATAGTGGCTAGGAAGGACCTGATGGGGGAGATACTGAGCAGGCGCATGTGCGGGGACTACAGAGCGCTTAACAAGGTGACTGTGCCAGATCGCTACCCCATGCCAGCTGCGGAGGAGATCTTTGACAGGCTGGGGGCAGGAGAGATATTCAGCACGCTAGACTTAAGGTAGGGCTTCAATCAGATTCGGATTAGCAAGGAGGACGTGCGCAAGACCGCGTTTCATGGAGCGGACGCATTGTACGAATGGCTTTTCATGCCTTTCGGGCTGAGGAACGCTTCAGCAATCTTCCAGAGGGTTATGGACAGCGTGCTGCGGAATCTGGACTGTGCCGCCTGCTACATAGATGACGTAGTCATCTTTAGCAGGACAGAAGAAGAGCACGTCAGGGACGTGGAGCGAACGCTAGAGGCGCTAGCAGCAGCGGGACTCACCTGCCACCCGAAGAAATGCAGGTGGGGAGAGGCAACGGTGCACTACCTGGGCTATGAGGTGCGGGGCGGACAAATAGGGATCCAGAAAGCGAAAGTGGAGGTGTTAGACCGACTACAGCAGCCGAAAGACAGGACAGGACTCAGGGCAGTGTTAGGCTTCCTAAGCTACTACCGACGTTTCGTGCCCAACTTCAGTAAGCGGGCAGCAGCACTCAACGGCTTGCTACGTGAGGACAGGAAGTGGGATTGGGGGGCAGAGCAGCAGGAGGCACTGAAGGACCTCATGGAAGCAGTAAAAACAGGGACCATACTGCAGCTGCCTCAAGCGGACAAGCCATTCCGCTTGTACACTGACTGGAGCAGCCTGGGCATGGGGGGGGTGCTATGTCAGGAAGTAGATGGGGAGGAAAGGGTGGTGGCATATGCGAGCAGAAGCTGCAATCCAGCGGAGGCGGAGTATAGCTCTTACCATGATGAGGGTCTCGCAGCTGTATGGGCAGTAGGACACTTCCGGGTTTACCTGCAGGGGAGGGGATTCACCCTGGTGTCAGATCACCAGCCGCTGCAGTGGTTGATGACGCACCAGGGTCACACAGGGAGGAATGCGAGATGGGCAGTAAAACTGCAGGAATATGACTTCAAGATTCGGCATAGGCCGGGGAAGACACTCCAGCATGTGGATGGGCTTTCCAGAAACCCGCCGCCGCCAGCACCAGAGCACACGCTGATCCTATTTGCAAGGGCAGGAGAAGTGGCAGCAGCAGAGAAGCAGAAGGGGCCAAGGGATATTTGGGAGGATGCAGCAGCAATGCGATGGGTCAAGGGGGAAACGGAAGCAGACGAGCAGGTGCAAGAGAGAGTAAGGGCAAGGGGTGTTCACTACAGGTGGTACCAGCAGCAACTGCAGATACAGACGGAAGACGGCTGGAAACTGGTACCTGCACCAGAGGACAGGGAGGGGCTGATCAGGGAGGTACACAACAAGCTGGGCCATTTCGGGCATGAGAGGACTATGCAGCTGCTGAAAACTGGCTGGTGGTGGGAAGGGATGAGGAAACAGGTGAAAGAATGGGTGAGTGGGTGCGAGGGTTGTCAGCGAAGCAGGGCCAGTCTGGTCCAAACAAAGCAGGAGTTGCAGTCATTGCCGATACGTGGGCTGGGGTTCAGGTGGTCATTGGATTTGGCAGGAGAGCTGCCGCTGAGCAGGGGAGGTCAGCAGTACATCCTCCTCATGGTGGAACATGCAAGCAAATGGTTGGAGGTGCGCGCTATTCCCAGCAAGAGCTCGAAGCATGTGGCAAAGGACTTCAAGGAGCAAGTGCTATGCCGGTTTGGAGCACCAGGGGAGGTCTTGACAGACCAAGGGAGTGAATTCAGAGGGGAGTTCCAGGCATTATTAGACCAGGCACGCGTCACGCACCGGAGGACTTCTCGGTATCATCCTCAAAGTGATGGACTCACAGAGCGGCTAGTGCAGACCTTGAAGCGGAATCTGCGGGCATACAGGGAGAAGCGGAAGAGAGACTGGGATGAGGAACTGCATTGGATTGCAGCAGGATACAGGTTCGGGAGGCAGGCATCGCTAAGGGATCACTCGCCGTATAGCCTGCTGTTCGGGCGAGAGCCAGTACTGCCAGTGGGGGCACCGCGGGTGTTAACCGACCCAGTGAGCGTGCAGGGAGCAGAGAAGTGGGTAGCACTGGCGGAAGCAAGAGCACGCTACATGAAAGAGATGCTGCCAGCCGCACTCGAGAACCTGCACACAGCACAGTTGCGGGATGCACTGAGGTACCAGCAGCGGCAGCAGAAGGGAAGAGGAAAGGGGAAGGTAGCAGTGGCGGAGGGACAAGAGGTTTATTTGAAGAGGGCCAAGCAGGATACCCTAGACGTGGGACTAGGAACCGTAAGGTGGAAGGTGAAAGCAGTACGCGACTCAGGGGTGCTGGTACTGGAGAACGAGAAGGGGGAACAGACAGTGGACCACCAGACCAATGCAGCGGTGGTGAGGAGCAGCCGGCCTCAGCTGGATGGTCCTGTGACTCGGGCCCGTGCAGCACGAGCACGAGCACAGGAGGGGGCAGGGAGTGGCTGAGAGAGGCACAAGAGAGAAGACGGGCAAGGAACAGAAGAGGGGAAGGTAATGGGGCAAAATTTGGAGCAGGGAGACAGGCAAGGGAGGGGATTCACGACAGCTGTCACAGAATTCACTGAGGGCAGTTGCAATTCATCCTGTTAACGCTAATACAGTGCAATGTGATATGCTGTAGCATATGGAGCGGGGTGTAGAATGTTATTTGACTTGTAAGCAGGTTGGTGGACAGCAGGGAGAGTGACGCGAAGTTGGTGGCCTGGGGACCAGCGGGGCGCGCAGGAAGTGAACCCAAGAGCCTCGAGCAACTGGGGAATCACTCTGGCCAATACCAAGCTTGAGCAGCCCGAACTCAACCAGAACTCTGAGACATTGGCGACTTGGCCGAGGGTAGATTTATAGCCTAGAGAAACATCACTCGATTAGTTCTCTCGTTTGTTTACTCTCTATAGTGGATTAAGTTGCTGATCTAAGCTTTCTAAGCCAGGTGACGAGGCCACTCAGAGTAGCCAAGTGTGGGGGACGAATTCCTCAGCAGAAGAGGGGAAGACGGGCAAGGAACAGAAGAGAGGAAGGTAATGGGGCAAAAGTTGGAGCAGGGAGACAGGTAAGGGAGGGGATTCACGACAGCGACGCCTCTCCATTGCCCGAACCGAGCGAAACGTTCTCCATTGTGCACATCGTTCTGGAGAAGCATCAACCCGTCCCATCATGGTCAGTCGTATGGGATAGGTAAGTGCTACGACTCGCTCTTATCACGGCTGTCATCTCAGGGCTGACGATGCGTCATCTAGGGTGATTGGTTGTTGTCATGAAACAAGAGAACAAGTCAAATCAGCTGAATTTCACTGGAAAAGCGCGATCGGACCGTCCGTTTTCGCACGGGCCTAATCGGGTGTTGTGTAATACTCGACGAGGTGTCTATTTTTTTTAATGATAATTGTAAGTATATACCGAGTGTACAAGCATATACTGACAAGAACGGTCGTAACCGTGCGTGAGGAACTAGAGGGAACCCCTTGCTCCAGATAAGATTCCTAGGGCCGAGTGTTCCTGGCCCTCCGCGCCGTCCACGATGCTGCAAAGCCGTTTGTCCACTTCAGACCTTTGCCCTCCATCCTGATTTTTCCAAGCATGTTCCACTCCTGATTTAGGGCAAGCGCTTACGTATTCAGTTCCTTTCCAGTTCATCCGTCGTGGTGCAAGATCATATAAAACGGTGCACAGCGGTTTTCAATCTCCACCGTTTTGCTCGTGATGCAATACCTTCAGAATGAGCTGTAAACGTACGCGCTACGCCTTTTCGTGTTTCCTTCACACATCACCTCTCGCCGGATGCTTTTCGTTCAAGCCAACTATTGTTTTCACGCAACCCCGATTATCCATCTTGAGCAATACAGTCAATTTGAACGTACAGCTCTTCTTGATCCTTGCTACTTTTGATCGTTAGGGAAGGCCACTTGCAAATGTATCTATACAGGGGGCAGAAATCAATTTTGGAAACATATGGACCAACTTACACCAGGATAACACTGCTGCTGACGCACACCTCACAGAATGCTGAACAGCACATTGCTGAGGGTACATAAAATCCCCTGTGCACCGATCACCATCAATTAACTGACCAGCAGCAAATAGATTATTGCCAGCTCATTCTGAAAAAGGCAGACCCACTGCGTATGCGTAGGCTCATTTGCGTTCTTGCTTGCTGTCTTGCTCTCTTACTTGCTGTCTTACTTGGGGCCTCACTAGTCCACCCATAGAGACCAATGCACAAGCCGACACATCAGCTGCCACTAGAGCCCACCGCCTCAGTCAATTCTGCACTCTTCTCCTTCCCTTTCTTCCCCTGCTGCTTCTTCCCCCCTGCAGCATTCCCCGTCCCCTTTCCCTTCCCCCCCTTGGCGCCCTTCCCACCAGCCTGCGCCCCTGCCTCTGCCCCCTCCTCCTCCTGCTCTATCCTTGCGAACACGGGCGCTGGCTCTGCTGTCTGCTGCCCTGCCTTAAGCCCTCCCCAGTGCGTGTTAGCCTACAGACCACCAGGGACGGGGATGGCGGGAAGTGGGCAGAGAAGGGAGGAGAGCAAGGGAGGGGAGTGAGAGGGTGGGGTGGAACATGTGGGGACATTCCCTCCTCCCCCTGCTCTATCCTTGCTGCCCTGCCCTCAGTCCTCCCCAGTGCGGATCACCCAGGGAAGGGGATGGTGGGGAAGTGGGAGGCAGAGGGGGGTGGAGGGGCGGATTACATGGGGAGAGGAAGATTGGGAGGTGTCGATGTTGTGGTGCTGCAGGAAAGGAAGACGGCACACCTCAACTGCAAACGGTGCAGGTGAGGAGGAGGAGGAGGAGGAGGAGGAGGAGGAGGAGGAGGAGGAGGAGGAGGAGGAGGAGGAGGAGGAGGAGGAGGAGGAGGAGGAGGAGGAGGAGGAGGAGGAGGAGGAGGAGGAGGAGGAGGAGGAGGAGGAGGAGGAGGAGGAGGAGGAGGAGGAGGAGGAGGAGGAGGAGGAGGAGGAGGAGGAGGAGGAGGAGGAGGAGGAGGAGGAGGAGGAGGAGGAGGAGGAGGAGGAGGAGGAGGAGGAGGAGGAGGAGGAGGAGGAGGAGGAGGAGGAGGAGGAGAAGAAGAAGAAGAAGAAGAAGAAGAAGAAGAAGAAGAAGAAGAAGAAGAAGAAGAAGAAGAAGAAGAAGAAGAAGAAGAAGAAGAAGAAGAAGAAGAAGAAGAAGAAGAAGAAGAAGAAGAAGAAGAAGAAGAAGAAGAAGAAGAAGAAGAAGAAGAAGAAGAAGAAGAAGAAGAAGAAGAAGAAGAAGAAGAAGAAGAAGAAAACACACACACACACACACCCCTCTAAAATGGCACCACTCGATGACACTAGGCGGCATGCACTGGAATGGAATGGGGGAGATGACCGGATTCAATGCACTGTGTGCAGTTTGGAACGCACCCATTGCATGGCAGAAAACTGCTCAGCAGTGAAGCCCAGTTGCATATAAATGTTCCGAGAGAGCGTGGGCGTGATGGGGGAGAGAGCCACGGCCACACAGCGAGCCGTCTCCAACACTGCCACCAGGTCCTGATGGGTGGAGAAATGGAGGGGGGAGAGTGGGGGGGCAAGGTAGATGGGACGGGAGTTGAGAAGGGCATGTTCCAGTGGGGTTGATGGGGGGGAGCGCCACGGCCACACAGTGAGCTGTCTCCAACACTGCCACCAGATCCTGATGGGGGGAGAAAGGGGGAGTGAGGGGTAAGTGAGATGGAATGGGATGGGATGGGATGGGATGGGATGGGATGGGAGAGACATTATGCGAAGTGAGGGTGGCATGTGACAGAGTCACGGCCACACAGTGAGCCGTCTCCAACACTGCTAACAGGTCCTGATGGGGGAAAGGGTAGGGGTGGGGGGCAAGGGAGATGGGACAACGGAAAAGGCACATACTGAAGAACAGGGGTGATGGGCAACAGAGCCACGGCCACAGAGCGAGCCGCCTCCAACACTGCTAACAGGTCTTGATGGGGGAAGAAATGGAGGATGGGGAGGTGTGGGGGCAAGGGTGATGGGGGAGAGTGCCAATGCCACACAGCGAGCCATCTCCAACACTGCCACCAGGTCCTGATGGGGGAAGAAGGGGGGAATGGTGAAAGGAGTGTGGCGAAAGGCATGAGGACTTGTGCCTTTCCCCACACTCCTTTCATTGGGGAAAGTCATTCTGGAAGTGGGGTTGATGAGAGAGCCACGGCCACACAGCGAGCCACCCCCCCAACACTGCCACCAGGTCCTGATGGGGGAAGAAAGCGAGGAGGTGTAGGAGTGGGGGAAAAGGCATGAGGATGTGACATTTTAAAGAGCGATTGCGACGGGCGACAAAGCCACGGCCACACAGTGAGCCGTCTCCAACACTGCTACCAGGTCGTGGGAGGTTTAGGAGGGGAGGCGAGAGAGTGGGGGTGGAGGGACGTGGGAGAGCAGAGAAGGTAATGTGTTGAAGAGTGGGGGTGATGAGAAGAGTCGCCGGCAGCAATACCGCTGACACTGGTAACACCAGCACACAGTGAGCCATCTTTAACACAGTCGCCAGGTCCTGGGAAAGGTAGAAAAGAGAGGAGATTGCCTTATACCACACTGCACCGCATCTCAGTCATCCCAATCACCCACTCACCGCAGCCGCCTCTTCCGCATCTGCCCCTCCCTTCTTGAACTTGCTCCAAGGTGCTCTTTCCTCCAAAAACCCGTTCCCCGCTGCTGCTGGCGCCAGAATCGCCTCACACGCCCCGCTGAAGTCCAGAGCAGCATAGCACGCTGCTGCCGTTGCCATCTGTGGGGAGGAAATGAGAAGGGTTGGGGCATAGATTCGAAGTGCGATAAGGTGGGGTGGTGGTGGGGGTAGTGGTGGTGGTGGGAATGCTGCGAGCAACAGAATCGCCTCACACGCCCCACTGAAGTCCAGAGCAGCGTAGCACGCTGCTGCTGATGCTAACAGTAGAAGTGGTGGAGCGGGGTGAAAAGGGGTGCTGAAAAGGCTACTGTCGATATGCTAGTGCTCTGCTGCTGTCGCCATCTGTAGGGAGGGATTGGGGGGGTGGGGCTTTAAAGATAAGTGTGTTAAGGAGGGATGGTGGTGGTGCTTATTGTCTTATTATAGGTTCACTACTTACAAATAAGACTGCTTTTTCACATAACTTGGGTATTTCGTATATGTTCGTTATGCAACAAAACATTTCTACTTCTCATCTCATGGGCCTCTAACTCATGAAGGGATTGAAGGTGGGATACTGACAGACGCAGCAGTGGTGGTGCGGAGAGGGTGGTCGAGAGGCAGAGCAGCGGAGTCAATGCTAAGAGTGCTGCTGCAGTTCTTCTTGAGCAGACCCAGTGTACGATTCACCAGGTTGCCTGAGGGGTGAGAGAGAGAGGAGAGAGGGAGAGAGCAAGGTAGTGAGGACAGGGGGCTTGATTGTAAGAGGGAGGGGATGTGACTGTGCTGCCCCAGCTTGCGATTCACCAAGTTTCCTGTGGGGTGGGAGAGTGGAGAGAGGGAGAGGGTGACCGAGTGAGGGATGGGGGGCTGAGTGAGAGGAGAAGGGGCTGTGGCAGTGCTGCTGCAGTTCGACTTAAGGAATCCCAGCGTGTGGTTCACCAGGTTGTCTGTGAGGTGAGAGAGAGGGAGAGAAGGTGGGTGCGTGAGAAAGTGGGGGATAGAGTAAGCGAAAAAAGCAGCATTTCTTGTGAGAATTAGGCTTACTCCCTCCTGCTCCCCTCCTCCTCTCCTAACCCGCCAGTACCCAAACCCCCACACCTCCCACCCACCAATGGTGTTTGCAAGGTTTGCGTTGACGATGTTAACGAATCGCTCTTTAGAGAAGTCCCCGTCGCTGCCGAACTCAATCTCCCGCAGGAAGAAGTATCGCACCGCGTCCGCCCCAAAGGTTGTTACCAATTCGACGGGGTCGATAGTGTTTCCAAGGGACTTGCCCATCTTGTGCCCGTCCTGTGGTGGTGATGCGTGGGATGAGAGAGAACGAAGAGGGGGGGGAGGGGGGATCGGGGAGGGCAAGGACAGGACGAAGCATCGCACGGCGTCGGCTCCAAAGGTTGTTACGAGCTCGTCAGGGTCGATTGTGTTGCCCACCGACTTGCCCATCTTGTGCCCGTCCTGTGGTGGTGATGCGTGGGATGGGAGGGAACAATGGGCGTGAGAGAGAGTAGGGAGAAGGACTCATCCTGGGGTGTGGGTGGGTGGCATGACATGTTGATCTTTCTTTTGAGAATTTTCAAAAGGAGGACTCACCCTGGGGTGTGGGCGGCATGACTTGCCTTGGTGAGGAACCCATGGCCAAAGACTGCGGTGCATAAAGAAACTCAAAACTTTTGACTGCTTCTGATGCGTCTCAAAACTCTTGCCTGTTTATTAGGCGCTTCAATTCAAACGGCAGCACTTGCCTTCAGAAACCATACCTTGTGATTAGGCATGAGCAACCAGCCCGGTGTGATTGACAGCTGTCACCAAGGTGTGGTGTGGTGTGGTGTGGGTAGCAATGGCATGACTTGCCTTGGTGAGGAAGCCGTGGCCAAAGACGGTGGTGGGGGTCGGCAGGCCGGCAGACATGAGCATGGCTGGCCAGTAGACCGCGTGGAAACGCAGAATGTCCTGAGGGGGTGCGAGGGGGAGGGTGAAAGGAGGGAGAGGGGCAAGTGAAACAGGGCCGTTCAAGGCCAGCAGACATGAGCATGGCTGGCCAGTAGACCGCGTGGAAACGCAGAATGTCGTGCAAAAAAGGGAGAGGAAAGGGGGAAACGGTGAAAAGGGGAGGGGGAAGGATGTCTTGCCAATGATGTGCACTCACTCACACCCCACCTTGCCACCCTCCTCACACTCTCCACCGCACTAAGAGCCTACCTTGCCTATGATGTGCACGGAGGCAGGCCACCCCCTGGAGACTGCTGTGTCTAGGCTTGGCTCATCGCCCTCCTCCAGCAGCGCTGAGATGTACCTGTGGCGTGGTGGTGAGTGGCGGGGGAATGCAGACAAGGGAGGAGAGGAGGGGGGTGAGGCAGAGATGTACCTGTGGCATGGTTGTGGCTGTGCCGTGTTGAGGCTTGGCTCATCGGTTTTTGAGTCGACTCAAAAACCGACTCATCACACGCGGAGGAGAGGAGGGGGGTGAGGCAGGGATGACGCATGGCATGGTTGCGGCTGTGCCGTGTCCAGGCTCGGCTCATCGCCCTCCTCCAACAGCCCTGAGATGTACCTGCCGTGTCGTGGTGGGTGGAGAATGGGGGAGGGGTGACGGGGTGGAGGGGTGGAGGGGTGGAGGGGAAAGAAGGGGGATCGAGGAGGGACGACGCATGGTATGCATGTTGCAGTGCCGTGTCCCTCCTCCCCTCCACCATGCTTGGCTCCCTTCGTGTCAAAGCTTGGCTCATCGCCCTCCTCCAGTAGCGTAGCGCTGAGATGTACCTGCGCTGTGTGGTGTGGTGGATGGATGGGAGAGGGCAAATAACACGAGTGGAGGAGTACGACAAATGGCATGAGAGTGCTGCCCTGCCGTGTCGAGTTGGCTCATTGCCCTTTTCCAACAATGCTGGGATGAGAAGGACTGAGTTTTGAGACATCTCAAAACTGCAGATTGCCCAGACTCCCCCTAGCAGAGCATCGAACCACACGTAGATGGTTTTCTACATGGGCATCCAGCACGGCACGGGAATGCCCCACCCACACAGACGTATCGTCGAATCGGAGTGAAGAGGCAGAGAGGCAGAGAGGCAGAAGCAGGCTCACCCCAGCAGTGCGTCGAACGACACATAGATGGTTTGCACCGAGGCATCTGGCACCGGGATGCCCCACGCCACGCCACCACTGAAGCAGAGTGGCAGAGGCGAACAGGCCAAGCCAGACCCACCTCAGCTCACCCCAACAAAGCCTCAACTCACCCCAGCATTGCCTCAGCTCACCCCAGCATTGCCTCAACTCACCCCAGCATTGCCTCAACTCACCCCAGCATTGCCTCAGCTCACCCCAGCATTGCCTCAGCTCACCCCAGCATTGCCTCAACTCACCCCAGCATTGCCTCAGCTCACCCCAGCATTGCCTCAACTCACCCCAGCATTGCCTCAACTCACCCCAGCATTGCCTCAGCATTGTAGATGGTCTGCTCTGAGACGTCTGACACGGCATGGGATGGGAATGAATGACCCCACGCCACCGCTGAGGAGCATAGGCAGTGTGGCAGACAGGCAGTACAGTGTGGCAGCATAGGCAGTGTGGCAGACAGGCAGTACAGTGTGGCAGCATAGGGAGTGTGGCAGCATAGGCAGTGTGGCAGCATAGGCAGTGTGGCAGCATAGGCAGTGTGGCAGCATAGGCAGTGTGGCAGCATATACAGTGTGGCAGCATAGGCAGTGTGGCAGCATATACAGTGTGGCAGC